TTTACTTTGTTGGAGGTTGTAGTAGACTTGAAGTAATTCACGTATACGTTCATCTTTAGGTTTTCCACGTTTCTTAACTAACGAGGCTTTGACAAGGTTAAAGTACGTTTCATACTGTTCGATAGTAATATTGGCAGGGTCCTCTGCAAGAGCATGTTTACATTCTTCTTCAGCAAACACAACAGAATCATAAGCACGTAAATCTTGCTGCACCTGTTGCTTCAGATAGGTTGTCCAATGTTTAGCTGGAACTCCAGAAGATTTTAATAGCGTCGTAAGCTGGTCAAGAAAACGGTCAAGTTGTTCGTCAGGCTTACCTGTATAGCGAGGTAAAACCACTTGAGGCAACTTCAAAGTGTCAACATGGCTTGAACTTGGGGAATTTGTGGCTAAATCTGCGACAGTTTTCGCGAGTGCTTCGATGTGTTGTCGATTTGCTTCTTGGGCATCATGTTGGTTTGTTAGCTGGGACTTTACCACGTCAGCTAGTCCTTTAACGATCCCTGTGAGTTCCTCAACTGTCGCCATACTGTATTTAGTTCGTGACTTCGTGTTACAAACGATGTAAAAAATCCTCTAAAATTCTGTTAAAACGATTTGCATCCTCCACCAATTGTAGTAGTCAGTGTATATAAACATATACTTTAATATCAAACAACAATATAAACATTACATGAACAAAAACACGAATCAAGTATGGTTTTTCTTCTACGACATTATCCTATAAACTAGCGGCCATTGAGTCCATGTGTTCTCTTCCTGTTCGCAGGTTGTACCTCCCTAAAATCCTACTACACCGTCGACCATGGGCATGTGCCACCCCAGCTTGTATGTTAAATACAAATCGATACCTACATGGGATAAATCATAGATATAGGAGATCTAGATTGCTGACGCATACCTAGCGCAGGCGGGGCCTACATGAGAAATCCAAGATGGCGGTACAAGAGGGCAAAAAGACTATAGATTCTATTACGAAAATCAAGATTTTTGCATTTTTTGCCGTCGCATTGTTTTGCAACTTATTCGGTCAAATTTTATGGTAAAGAGAAACGTATCGCGAAGATTTTGAGCATATATATGATTGAATTGGATGAAAACTCGCAAAATTATCCAGCGATAAAAGTTAGTGTGAAATGGTCAGTTGGTCAGTTGGAGCGTTTTATTACCAGAAATACTGTGCTATGTTAACATATAGTCTTGTGAATGGTGTTTTATACATGCATCTTTCATCATCATCTGCTTTGTCCTCATAGTTATAAAAAATGAACTGTTATGTATCCCCCCCACCCCCCACCCCCTCCTTGCTTGTTAGAGAAGTAAACTGATGAGAGCACTGGATAATGGTCTATCATCTATGGTCTGTTATAATTTTCTTTCTATGGAAATAGTAAGCAAAAATTAAAGCAAAACTGTACAAGTTACATATATAGTATATCAGTACTATACACGAACTTTTATCGCTGGATAATTTTGCGAGTTTTCATCCAATTCAGCCATAAATATGCTCAAAATCTTCGCGGTATTTTTTTCTTTACCATAAAATTTGACCGAATAAGTTTCAAAACAATGCGACGGCAAAAAATGCAAAAATCTTGATTTTCGTAATAGAATCTATAGTCTTTTTGCCCTCTTGTACCGCCATCTTGGATTTATCATGTAGGCCCCGCCTGCGCTAGGTATGCGTTAGCAATCTAGATCTCCTATATCTATGGGATAAATACAAGTATGTTAAATACGTAAATGTTAAATACAGCTTGGCGTTAAATATGTTAAATATCATTAAATATTAACAAACCTCCGCTCGGGGGATTCGATTTTAAACATATCAAAACATTGAAATATTATCGTGCAGATTTGGCTTATCCTTTAGATGATTTCTGTATCTTTTTCGCTGAAAAATATTATGTATTAAATCCTTGAGATTTATAGGCCTATATAGATAATTATAGAGATAATATTATATATTATTCTCCTCCCTGAGTATGTAGTTATGATTTTTAGTTGATTGGGTGATAGCAAAATTGAAAAGTTTAAGAAATAGCTGCACAAAAGCAAAGAAGCCCATATCTAGTGGCAGTGCCAGGAAGAACCCTAGCTGGCCTAGCAAACGTGCTGTATGGTTGCTGGAAAAATTACAGTTCCTGTCACCTCATAGTGCAACACGTACTTCAATTTCCAACATTAACTCAGTAAGTTTGACTATATAAATGTATATAAATTCTAATTCTATTTTCACATTCAGATAAATTCCTTTTAGAGTAGAATTTATGCATTAATATTCATAATTATTCCCTCGACATTTATAAAAAAATGGAGTCTTAATTTACCTTTGTGGAAATAACTCCCTTCATGCAGTGGTGATTCCCTACAGTTTTGTATATAATTAAAAATTTAGAACTTAGACTTAAAACTTTGGATAATTACCACTTGTTGACTAAGAAAGTTTATATGATTTGTATAAAAACATCTAAAATTTTTAACATAAAAACATTTTTTTAAAAAAATCCCCAGTGTATAATTTTTTTAATTGACAAAACTACCAGTGGCGAAGCCAGCGGTCATGCAGGTCATGCAGTGCATGACTAAAAATTTCCCCAAAAATGTTTAAAAATCAGTTCAGTATAATTGTTTACAATAGAATTATACTTTATCTTTGCACTTCTACGCCTAAGTATTTTATTTATTATTTTGTTTACCCAAATCGATGATCTTTAGGCGATATTCTTGCTAAATATTCTCGTATGTTATTGATTTTGGCTTTGTTACCTTGGCAACTGAGCGGTCCTGCATATTTTCACATGCATGACCGGTTGCGTAAGCGTGTGGAAAAAGATTGCGTGTGATTGCTGCGTGGTTTGCTCGCCGTGTGTTTTGGTCATGCCTTTCAAAATTTCATGACTAGCTGTATTCTTTTATATTAGGTTTGTTGGTTTCTGATTGGCTTACGACGATCGCGCACGCGCAATGCGGCTGATTTTGACGCCTTGGTCATGCAATTTTCGATTTGCATGACTAAACGGGCAACACAACCTGATCACAGCCTCTTAGCTCGAAGCTTTCAGCCTGAATGAACACGTCTTCAGGTCATTCAAGCATGTCGACTTCTTCTTTACTCGAAGCTAACGATATTGTTTGGGAATTGGTGAAGAAACCATTTTCTGCTGAGCAGAATATTATTGTTTATAAGCAGAGACAAACGCCAGATCTTTCGACATGCCCGATCGGGAAGGTCTTCAAATGTCGTGGTATTCAAAGAAAGAATGGCTTAGCCAGTCAGGCTTAGGCTAAATAAGCTATTGCCTATTGGTATTTAGTTATTGTTACATGTATTTTGTCTTGAATATTTAAGCCTTCAACCCGAGCATAGGCGTATAAAGCATCGAACGCTATTATATGAAATACAATGTCAATGTCAAGGTCAATGTAGTAAACAATGTAGTTCTATAAATAGCGCTGCAAAGCTTATACATTTCAACACGCAACACAAACATTTTAGCGATTGTGATTTAGCAACATATTTGATATATACTTGTTTGTGAAACAAAGAAATTTCAATATATATTGTTAAATTGTATTTACCATTTGGTACATACTCCCCGTGCGTTTGAAAATATCCAATATTGGCAATAGCCAATCGATATGAATGCAGAATTCGGCTGTAAAACTGACAGTAAAACTTCTACTCAAACATCTGATAATGCTTAATTCATTTCTGTATGTAATATTGTAATAATTGGGCGATTGATTTTAAATTAAGGAAATTGATCAAGGCTCATGCGTTATATTTTCCAAGTCCTGCATATTATACCTATATTCTAGATTATACTGACTGTATTAGCAGCTATTTGTCATTATGTTCCGTTACTCCGCTAGCATATGTGGATAAAATTGTATCTAGTTCTGGAAATGTGAAAACTCTTCAGACTTCACGTTGGAATACTACAAGGGGATAGCAATTAGGTAGTCTATACAGACTATGATAATACAGATTACAGAACATGCATGTAATATTTTCTGATCGAAAAGAAATGCACAATTGCCGGTATGACTATAATTAGCGGAACTGCAGACACAGATTTCCTATTTTTGTGTCGATCTTCATTATTGTTGTCTGAAATATGCCAAAATATCCACATATTTTCCTGTCATTAGATCAAGCTATTTTCTGAAATTTGATGCTGAGATTGCTGCAAATGGCGTTTCTGGGGTATATATTTCAAAAATTTTCCGGGGGGGCATGCCCCCGGACCCCCCTAGGATGTCTCACGCCTTCGGCGCTCGTTTGCATGACCACTCACACGACGCTGACTTCGCCACTGTGTATAGTTACCTACTGTAGGTAATTTATAGTGAATCTATGCCAGCATATTTAAAAATTTATAATGTTTAGCCGTATTTTTGTCTAGGAAAAAGAGTTTGAAATCGCTTTATGTGTAGAATGATAGAATGACTGACCCCCCGGATTTTATTGTTCCAATCAATGCCCAGCCGGATTTTTGAGTCTATAGCACAAGTGTCTTTTGTGATTTTTCCTGCTGAAACCAGAAGGCGTTCGAAGCTAACAAGTACGTCATATCATGTTATGATAGTTGTAGAAGAAGGGATTTGCTGGAAAATATTTCAATGTAAACGTGTACGTGATGCGTGAGGATTTATTCAGCTGCGTTGTTATTCCGCTTCGGGTTACAAAAGCCGGTTCGCGTTAGCTCATCATCATCAATCAATTTTATTTAAATGAAAACACGCTAGCCTCGCACAATTGAAAGCTGATTTGTAGGAGAGGCGTGATATATAACACAGCAAAATATATAGAATATTATATAACCCCCCCCCCCCCCCCCCAACAACAAAGAAAAATAAAGTCAAGTAAAGTAAGTAAAGAGAGTTAACTATAATTAAGTCAACATGGTTCTAAAAGGACAGTTCCGCAATACTATACGCGTTCCGCAAAACTATTCTAAATACGTTTTGCGATTTTTCCTTACAAAACGACAAACGGTTTTAAGATCTAGTTTGCTTTATAAATTATACCATTCACTATAATGTAGTAATGAATGGAGTTTAGAGATTAGGAGCTACAACGGTTATTTTGCTTTACACAGCGAAATATAATATTGTTGATCACTTGCGACAATATGACGCAGCATGAATTTACGTTTTGATCATCTATCTTTTGCGATTTTTCCTGACTTCACATTTTGCGCTAAAGCCTTCAAAATACGTTTGTTGAAAGCGTAATGTTCTGAAGAAGAATGAAATTCATTAACAAGTTTATTGCGTAGAAAGAAACTGAGTAATTCGACATTTTATACCCCAGACACCTAATCTATTTTCATATTCGAATCTGAATGTGAACTGAACCTGCGAATCTGAAACTGTAAAGCCGACCGTATAACTTGCGCAGCGTTTGATCGCTCCAATCAGAAGTCACTCAGGGCAAGTTAGCACAAGTTTACTTGCGTTCTCGTTTGATCAGGGCTTAACAGCATTACAAATTTCACTTACCGGCTACTTCCTCGTCAGTTTCGGCAATACATTCAAGGCTGATCCAAAAGACGCCGCTGTTAGAAGTAAAAATATCACGCGAAAATCTGTCATGTTTTTTTTTAACCTGACTATAAGAACCTGGAATGCTGACTTGTCAGTGATGTTTCAAGAGTGATTTCTTCTATTTTCCGCTTTTCTGAGTATATTGTCCAGACACAGAGAAGTGAGGACTATACCGGCACGCAACTCAGTCAGGCGCGGATTATTATAATAGTACTAGAAGTTACTATCGCAAGGAAAGTGCTGCCTCACCCCCAAGGGATCAAAGGCAGCATGCAGAATTTGCTGAATAAGGGTCAGTTTATATGATCCTGCTTTGCCGTATTACTTGTAAAATAAATTACTGTGCACGATTCAACAAAAAACTACATAGTTAACTGTAAACTAAAGGTTGTTCAAGGAGCAATAATAATCTTTTTGAACTACAACATTTGAATTCTGTTGACTTATTTCAATACATTAAAATCCTTCCAATATTTACAGTAAACAGCCCCTAAGACACCTGTTCATGAGGTAGGAAAAGTGCAACTTGAATATCAAACACCTTGTCCTTGCATAAAGTCAAAGGTCAGCTAAATATTCTATTTCCACTTTCTTGGCATTGGGCAGTTTTGTATGAATACCTTCAATGCTTATAATTTCTTGTTTTTGTACTATAATACAATACTGTCTGTGGCAAAGCTAGCCATACCAAAAGGTCATAAACTATGCAAATTTGTAATTATTTGCATTATTCAAACCTAAAAGGTAGCGATTGCTGCCTATTTAGCACAATATCAAGTGTCGAGGCTAAGAAAGATGGAGGGCTAGAACACAATCTGAACGCAGCAAATTTTAATATTTTTGTGTGTTTAAAAGTACCTGTAAATTTTCCTTGGACAATACATAAACTATTGATATTTTGGATGCCACTTACAGTCACCATCACCCAAAAAGAAGCACAATTTTCAATGAGAAAGCGGTTTTTGGTCAGCAATAGGTGGGTTTAACTAAGCCTTGTACGTACATGTTGTAAGGAAACGCGTAAACTCTATTTCTTTTTGGAGTTGACTACCAAGCGCTAATAACTACCAAGCGCAATCCAGCTATTGTTGCCATAATATAACGCGGAGCATCTTCGCGTACTTTTTGCAGGCATATATAAGTAAAGAGAGTCGGAGGTACATATAAGAATAGAATAGCTTTAAAATATATAAATATACTATATTTGAATCTATAGACTCTCTGAAATGCCATTTCCCGGACATTGGCGAGAGATTTTACAGAATTCTGATGGTCAGAAAACGGCATTGTTGCTCTATAGGCTATAGCCTGAGGGGCCCCATTGGGGTTGGGGGCCCCCGGGTTCTCCCGGTCCGAGGTCATAGTAATTACGCCACTGTATACGCTAAGGTAAATCCGAGGCCATCAAAAACGTGTGTGTGCTACTTGCCCCAAATATGATTTCAAAATATACTGAAGATGAAATGCGATATATTTTTTATAGTAAAAACACAATATAATTTCTACATACTGTTACGTATTATTATTTAGGTGATGAGTCACCTCATAGAACTGTGCCTTGTTGAGAATTGCTTTGAGAGACATCCGTTATTGGATTATATTCCTGTCAGAATGGCCCAAATACTATTCTCTATACCAAAAATTATATTTTAGCTAGTGCCAGTGGTACTCAAAGGTATCGAAGTTTTGAAAAACAACTAAAAATATAGTTTCGTATCTAGCAATCAAGAACATCAAAATACTCAAAAAATCTCAAATCCAATCATTGTGGTTTAGCCTCGCACACGTTGACGGAAGTGCCAAAGATTTTCCATCGACTCCACGGGCCAGTACCACTATACAAAACAATACGAGTCTCGGCTTTGTTACCATAGTTCATATTCAAGCCCGTGCCAATGACGTGAACCAAATCATGGTCACATGACCAGAGCTGGCCAGGGAAAAGATGGTCGCAAACAGATACATGTAGTCTTGTCCAATCTTTAATGTTACCATTCACATCCAGACACTTATTCAGGTTCTGGTTCTTTAATTGGTTTTATTCGTCCACGTCCACCATTGGTTTACGTCATTAGTGTCACATGACCTCGCTATGACGTCAATGTTACTGACTGCCATGCATTTGTCGTGATCAGCATTATAAATTTGAAACGCTGGGAAAAGGAAAATATATTATAATCAGATACAAAAATTAGTAAACGTTTGTACGTACCCAATTTACAATTATATACGCAACACACGAGAAGGAAGTGCCCCCGAAATATTTTCTCGTAAACAGTTCGATGACAGGGTATATAAAAAGTGCACAGTTCTAAAATGTCCACCAAACAGTAAATTCCGCAAAATGCTTGTCAACTTTATGTTAGTATAAGTAGCTTGACCTATTCTGGTATCTCTATCACAAAAGTATTCCGAAAAGTAAATATTCGTGTCCAGAAGGGCTGTTTTTATTAAAACCACTTTAATTAAAATGGCTTGGGCACAAAAATGTTTGGTTTGAAATGCACTTTCAATGAATAGGCTGAAAATTTAGAATGAGTTTGCGAGCTGTGACACTACCAGGCATTATAAGCAAAGTATTCGAAAATGAAGTGTTTACTCAAATATCTAAATATCTAAATGAAAACGTGCTATTATCAAAATTTCAATCAGGATTTCGACCAAAACATGGAACTCTGGGCGCACTTATTCATATGTGTGGCCAATGGTTATAAGTGATATAGATAAAGGCAAAATAAACTAGAGGGCACTCAGAGACTGCATACCTCCGCCTACGAGCAAAATATTGAAGTAATCTATTGTTATTAGAATTTGAATGGCTGGTGCATATATTATGCACGTCTTAATTACGCATTCAGTATATATATATGTTATTTACCGGCTGCGAAGTCCGGATGAGAAAAACTGTGCCCGAGGTCTTGAAAACGACCCGATCCCGAAGGGCGAGGGACGTTTTAAAGACCGAGGGCACAGTTTTTCTCATCCGGACCGACGCTGCCGGTAAATAACGTGTTTATTTTTTATCAGATGTAAAAATTAAATTGATTAAAATTCCAGTGTTGCTTGCGAACTAATTTGAGATCAGTGCAGTTGTGTATTTTCAAAGCGAGGCTGACAAAAATTGAAAAGTTTATAAATATTAATATAAAAAGATATAAAATAACGAATACGAAAACTCGAGAAAACTGGCAAGAAACACACAAAAAGACGTATAGTTTCAGTAAAAATGTACATGTTTTTTTCATGAATATGGTAGCAGAGAAGCTTTGGAATAAAAACTTTTATGCCTGGCGTTTTGGCTTTGGCAAGTTGCTCCTGACAACGACAGGTTCATGTTCAGATCCGATCAAAAACATATAAAAATGAATCTGTTTTGATTTAATTAACGTTTTTCTACTAAAAGGACAACTTTTATTTCATAGCAAAAGATAGGGAAAACGCCGTTCGAAAGGTGAAAATCGCTTTTTTTTTTTTTTAAATGAGATACCCATGGAAGTTTTGTTCAATAAATTATTGTAGAATAACGGTAAGCGATCACTTTTATTGATTTCTTTTTATTCAAAGTGCTAACATTACATTTTATTTTGCAAAAGTTTGTTTATTTCCCTATCTATTCCTTATTAAAATCGTGAAAAGCACTGGCTGAAGGTTTGAGATGCTCATATATCAAAAACAAAGCAGCAAATGATATAAATGCCTCAAAATATATCTCTTGCATAAAAAAAAACATGTTTAATTCTATAATACGTATAGTTTTTTCCTCTGCATGGTCAAAATTTAATAAAATAGCGAATTAATATAATTTTCTATAATAATAGACTGAATATACCGGCGTGACACAATTTGCCGCGTGTTTCCCCTCTGTATATCTCTTCTCTGTGATTTCACAGCGGGCAGTTGCGTTTCAGAGCGGGCCGGATGCAAAAAACCGGCCCGGTCTGAAAGGCTCCTCAGCCAATCAGATTGCTTCATTTTCACTGATAAAAAATAAAAAGTTTTATTTAATTGACCGGGAAAATCAAGACAAACTTTTGTTATTTCTCATTCCATTTTTATCCAAATTCAACCGCATTTTAACCAGTTCTTCCTTAGCCGATAGGAAATGCACTCACAAAATTTCGTACGGATATGTTTGGTATTTCTTGAGTTATCGTGCTCACAGACAAACACACACACACACACATACACACACACATACAAACCCAGATGATTACATAACCTCCTGGCGGAGGTAATGAAGTAGTCCCCGAGCCGACGGCGCGAAGCGCCGTGCGAGGGTACTAATTCCCACCGGCTATTTACACCCGGGGAAACGAAAGCATTAGCCAAGTCTAAAGTTCATCAATGAGCGCGGGCGTGGGTTACCGTGAGTGGTTCGGTGGTTGGTGAGTGGTCATCCTCACTGATCTCAAAAATATGGCGGACTGTCTTGAATAGCGGACACTGATTGGTCCAATTCAGAGGAGGAGTGAGGACTATACCGGCATGCAACGCGGTCAGGCGCGGTTTTTTACATATTATCGATTCCTCGCTCTGCGCCGTCATTGTTCGGTCGGCTTTCGCTGTGTTTACACCTCGAGGTTTCAAAAGATTCAGAAAAGATTTATCGAAAAAAAATTGTAAATTGGTGAATTTTTGCACTATACATGGAAAGAAAGCTTCGTTTTTGGGTGGATAGTAAACAATGTAGTTCTATAAATAGCGCTGCAAAGCTTATACATTTCAACACGCAACACAAACATTTTAGCGATTGTGATTTA